GGTGGGGATCTACCTAGTGGGAGAGAATGAACATGCGGAGTGTAAATGATGTATTACAAGATGAATCAGATGGCTTGACGATTGTGTACTAGCTCAAACAAGCTGGCCAAACAAGCAATATGAGAATTCAGATCGACCGTGCTGCCCAAATATCTCGGACCACACTGAAAATCTGCTGTTTTTTTTGGATTTAGACAGAAAATAATCTTTTTAGGTTAGTTTTAGAATTTAGAAAAATGTTAAATGATTTAACTCATTTAATTAATTCTATGAAATTTAAATGAATTTATTTTTAAAAATGGTTAAATACACTTAAAAATTATTTAAAAAATGAAATTAAAACTATGAAATAACATGAATGCAAGTGTGAGATTTATGTAGTGACCAAAAATGTTAAACCAATCCTCTCAACCAATTTCATTATGTGAAAAAATAAATAATAAAAAAATGAATGAATGAATGGATAGTCTAATAAAAAATATTAAAATAAAGTCAAATAAATAAATATTAAAATACAAATGCAGAATGTATGAAGAAATAATATTTGAAGGAGTACTTAAGATTCTGCACAATTTCTTGGTTAAATGTAGTAATAATAAAAACATTTAAGAGTGAATGAATGAGTGAGGTAAAATAAATAAATATAATAAAATTAAGTAAATATTAAAATAAAACAATATTAGTATTAGTAATATTTAGTATTCTGCACAATTTCTAGGTTAAATGTAATTAAAACATTTAAGGGTGAATTAATGAAAGAATGGATAAATTAATAAAGTAAAAAATGAATATTAGAATAAAATTATGATCAGAAATATTATTTGAGGATTGAATATTTAGTATTCTGCTCAATTTCTAGGTCAAATGTAATGAATAAAAGCATTTAAAAATGAATATAAGAAATTGTGTAAAGAAAGTAAAATAATGAAATATTACAATAAAATAACATTATAATGAAAAATACTATTTGAAGACTGAATATTTAGTATTCTGCACAATTTCTAGGTCAAACGTAAAAAAAATAAAAGCATTTTAAAAATGAATAAAAGAAAGACGTTGTACAGGAAGATGTTATTTAAATGTTACATTTGATATAAATGTGTTTGTATATTATGCATATTTACATTTGTATATATTTAGTATTGTAATGTTTCAATATCTCTCACAGACAGCGCTACACTGGGCTGCGAAACATGGTAAAGAAGACATGACCACAATGTTGGCAGAAGCAGGGGCTGACATCAGTATAAAAGCAGTACGTGCCACTGCTTCATAAATCAATACCTTTTTAGCATACATGCCTAAACTGAAATGCATTTACTAATCATTGTGTTTTTGTCTTCTTTTCTCTCACAGCATGTAAGTACGGCTCACCTTACATTCACCCTTGCTGTGACAGCATGCCTGGGTTCATGTTTCTCACGTGTGTGCCAGGCTGCCAGAAAGTGTCCGTTTTTGAAATGTCCGCTTCTGACATAACTCCTGTGAAAGGGTATGCGGGTGCCCAGCTGTGCAAATGAAGCCAGGCGCTGTTTGAGAATGTCTGTTCATAAATCAAACTCTGTCATGTTAACAGCTTCCCTTAAACAATGTCTTCATGTATTCCAACTGCAGGCTCAGAGCAAAGCAATTTCACTGAATTACCAGGCAATTATGATTCTGTCATTAGATTTTGTTGCTGTAACCTCAGTTAATTAGTGTCCCGTCTTTCTCTCCCCCTCTTCTCTTCGTTCTGTCACTCTCTGATTCTGTTGTGTTGTGTTTGTTATGACTGGGACATGGGCACTAGGGGGGTGGGGGGTGAAATTTTCCTTCACCCTGTCCATTTCCTTTTCATTTCTGTTTTGTGGTGAGATTGATCACTAGAGATATTTAAAATAGAAAAGCTTTTCTGTTTGGGTGAATCTTACAGATAACATTTTCACCCCAAAATCAAAAGAAATTAAATAAAATTATATTTAGCAGTGGAGAAATTCACTAATTTTCAGTATTGTAATGTGTGAATTACTTTTGTTTATTTATTAATTTCATTAATTTTTTTATTCTT